GAGCTTCGGGTCGACCATGAGTGCAGTCCAAAGCTAAGTTGTCTTCAGTACGCCTAACAGACGAATGACTTGGCCTGTTTGCCCATCCACCTAACCTCTGTTGTGTCAAAGCAACCAATGACCCCACTGAGTGGTGGTTCAGCTGCACAGCGTTATTGGTTGACTGTTGGTTGAGCCGCTGTTTCATTGGTTGACTGGTGGTTGAGCCACATAGTATCATTGGTTGACTGGTGGCTGAGCCACTTAGTATAATTGGTTGACTGTTGGTTGAGCTGTTGTGTCATTGGTTGATTGTTGGTGGAGCCACACAGTATCACTGGTTGACTGGTGGCTTAGCCACTGTGTCATTGGTTGACTGGCCATTGAGGTACACATTGTCATTGGTTGCTATGGTAGGTTTGGTTCACCTGGATGTTTGCAGCTCAGCCACCAGTCAACCAATGACACATCGGCTCAACCACCAGTCAACCAATGACACTGTACAGCTCAGCCACCAGTCAACCAATGACACTGTACAGCTCAGCCACCAGTCAACCAATTACGTTGTGTGGCTCAACCAACAGTCCACTAGGATACAGACGGCACCAGGTTCGGTTCACTTGGCTTTTCAGTCGGTTTCGGCAAACACCCAAGTGAACTCAACCCAGGCCACTAACCAGCATGAATGTAGTTTGAAGGCCAGCACCTGCCAGATCTCAGGGGTCCTCCCAGTTCTGCCTTCCGGCTCCAGAGTTGTCATCACATAAAATAAAGCCAATGAGCGGAAGGATAACAATCTCCCGGCGTTGAGCCTGCGCAAAATCTCTCCCCTCAGACACAATGCCACTTAGAACCGCGGTGGGCACAATGGAGGAGAATGCGCGGCGGGGGGAGGGTTAGCGGTCAATTATGCGGTAAGTGGTACTCGGAGATTTCAAAGAAAATAAAAATAATGGAAAGATTTTTTTCTTTTTCCCCGTCTCTGAGTGCCGCTGTTCAGAGGAGGAAAAGAGCAGACACAACCATGACAA